ACTGAACTTCACCGAATAGACTACCCCCATTAGATATTAGATATCTATAAGTGTCTTCATAGTACGATGGTCTAAGAGGGTAGCTAAAGGTATGCTCTAGTGGGCGGCTACCCCCTCACTCCCTGGCCTTTTGGTTAAGACTAAGTTTTATGTTCACTCGGGATAGCGTGGAAGAGCCGAAATCTCAAACCGTAACGTAAGCCGATTCGACGCCTCAGCTTCATAGAATGTCTCGGGGGAATCGTCCCATCTTTTTTATATTTTATTTTCATTATTTGTTATTTATGTCCGGGGGGGTTACATTTCTCCTGAAGTGAAAGTTCTGAGTTCGAGTCCTGCTGCTGGAATTTCTCTTTTTTTCTTGTTTATTGTTTTTTTTCTCTCGTTTGTCTCTTGTTTTCTTTTCTTTTTCTTTTTCTTTTATCCTTTTTCTTTGCTTTTGTTACTTTGTTTGTTTTTCTCTAGAGATTTTCTAGTTTTCAACAAACATATCAAGGACTCGCAAGGAACGCCTGCTACAAGTCGATGACAAAGTGACGAGAGGCCCCATAAGGCTTTTCGTCACACGAAAACGGCTCGTAAATAATAATGTAACAAACATCTACAGGTAAAAATAAACATAACTAGAACAACTACTTATCGGATAAAGAGTAAGAAATGAAGAAAAAGTAAAAGAATGTTTTTTAGACGTGCTCGAGTCGAGGATCGAGCTTGGGGTCTTGTATTCGCTAAACCAGCGACGTGGACTAAAAAATAGAGAAAGAATAAGAATAAAGTCGCCTCATTTTAACAAGACCGTGCCGCAGTGCCTTCGGACTAGACACGATTATTGGGTTTTCCGAAACGGTATCTAAYAACCCTTGAACGTGAAAACTCTTGCAATTGAGCAAAGAGAGTGACATATAATTAGAGCGTTAACGTGTTAACGTAGTGCACAGGGATAGATCGGAATAGACACAGAGCGCTGGGTCCGTCTATTCCCTCCCACGATCATCTGCCTAACATGTAGATGGGTGACCTCAGCGTCACCTTTTGCGTTTCTTCTTTCTTCTTCTTCTTAGTTCTTTTTTACTTTTTTCAGTGTTATTTTTCAAAATGTTATTAGTTATTAGCATTTATTCACTTGAATGAACGGTTTTCCTTAAATTGGGGGAAATACAGCATTCCCATGGTTCCCTGAGTTCTTATCTTATACTATAGCATTATGATAACTTATCTTCCATGTTCAACGCCTGATCATGTCGATCATGAGGATCAGAATCATTGAAGACGAGTAATTAATATACTTGTTTATTTGACTTTGATTGGTTGCCGATTTTCAACTTGATGTCATGGGTATCATTTTTTGAGACAAACTCGTCTGTCTTTTCAATTTATGTATGCCATGGCTACAAAGTTTTCCATTTTTCTCATTAAGATTTGCTAATTTGTGTCAGGACAATCAAATCAAAATCTTATTAAGGCAGAGTGCGTCATGTCCACAAAGTCAATATGTCTTACCAAATACAAAAGACGTGAAAGAGAGAGAGTTATGTTTAGTGAAAGGGCAAAGAGAAAAGAGATTGTAGCTCCTCTCGTTTATCGTCGGCTTTTGAAGGATACCGAAGCAGTACTGAATTTCATTAATAACCCTCGTTAGTCGACGGAAAGTTTGAAAATCGATTCTTTTACCCATCTTTGATTAGTTGCTATGGAGATGGCAATTGGTCGCAAATTCGCCGCGACCTGTACGTTTACTCAGCAAATTTAGCTTCTAAGTAGCTAGAAAGATAAACACTTGGACGTCGACGTCGCTCTTTGGTCTCCAAACCAATCGGGCAATGACATAATATAAACAAAGTCGTTTCTTCTTTTGATAAGATAAGATTTGACCAAGCGAGAAGTGGAAGCAACGTCAAATAAAAGATTCACTGAGTTTTGAAGTAAGTTGTATAGACAATTGTTAGTTTTCAACTTTAATTGTCGTTTTGTTAAATCAGTTCTCAGGAAATAACGTGACAAAAGATTTGAAAATCATTTTCTGTTACGGTATAAACCATTTTCGGGATGATTAGCGTTTCAATGGAGAACAAAAATCTTATCAATTTACGTCGTTTCATCCACTTAAAATGATCAACGACTTCACACCCCAGTGGTATTGAATGGAAAAGCTTACTTTTAAGTTGATTTATCTATTTTCCTGTTCTACTTTTTTTCAGCAAAGTCGTTATTTTATGATCTGGAATGTCAAACGAAGATGACTTCAATTTGTGAGATATTTTGTGGTGTTTTTCTGCTTCTATATATTCTCCAACCGGCATACTCCTTCTCATCAAGGACATTTGTTGGAAAGTATTTCATCAGCAACCAGGAACTTAAAACAATTAAAGTTCAAGACTGGATGGGATGTTTGAAACATTGTCATGAGGAACCACTCTGTATTTCTTACAACTTTGATAAAGGTTTAAGTAAACGCTGTGTGCTTAACAAACATGGGATTGAGGATTTTATATATGCTGATAGCGATCTTGTAGATGATGCTGGTTGGATCTTCCATCAACTCAAGGTAAGAAATTAAATAATTACTGAAGGATATATGGGAAAAAATATCTTTTCAGTGAAATTTTGATTTTCTCAATCAATGTAACTTGCTTTGTTAAGAACGATACATGACAATAGTGTACGTCTTGTTCAGATTTAATCGCAACTCTGTTAACTTTTGAGTGAAAAATTGTAACATGAATCGAAACGCTCTGACTTCCTGAGGGGAATCCCGACGGCGAGTTTCGACAACTGCAAGACTCCTGGACTAATAGTCAAAACAAGATATAAATCGCAGCAGCGATTATTGTCATCCATTGATTATGTTTTGATGTACAAGAATAGTGCAGATTTTAGCATCAGTAGCGTCATATAATCTATTCACAATAAATTGCAATTCCTCAATTTAGTGAAATATTGTCATGAGATCATCCGCTGATTTATGCCAATTGCTGTCTTAGATAAAATTCTTATTCATACAATAGAATAGTAATGAATTGAATTAGCTCATTCTGCTGAGGAAAAGATCCAACCAAAAGAAAAATTAAATAAAATAAAAACAACATTCAATAAGAACCCAAACTGAGATGAGACCGAGTAAGTGGGACCTAAAATTTATACTATATATATAGTCGTCGGCGGTGACCATCACAAAAATAATGATAGTTTAATTAAAAGCGCACTATCACATCCTTTTCTATCATGGGTTCACATTTATTATGAATCCCTAAATCGTTTTTCGTTCTCTCTAACCAGCCCGTTACCAAGAGAACYAACAAATCCAGAAATATGATYCCATGTCAATGCAATTGCGGATCGTCAAACCAGTGTTACCCTCCACCGCCAGGTAAGATTATTCGACTTTTAGTAATAATATATTAATAGACAACAATATTCAATAGATAATGACGTATGTAATTCATTATATGACGTCAAGCGGTTTAATTGTTTGCGTCGGTGGGAGAAATAAGACCAATTAAAAACCAAAATTATTTTCATTTGAGATATTATTTTCTAATTGTCACAATTATTTGACATTCGCACTTTTTATGATCAAATAAAATAATTCAAAGTGACTGACATTTATGTTGCTAGGTTTGGGGGATGTCCCTGAAAAAGCAGCTAGTTCTTGTAAAGAAATCTTAGAACAGCGACGGTGAGATGAAAATATAGATTTGTGATACATTCAGACGTAGTATAGCTGGTACGAAATTCACCACTTTTCGATAACTCAGCCTTATTCGATTAAACACTGCTTCGTCTGCGTTTGTATATGTTTTATTTACGAGCTTTCGGATCATTTGATCCATCATTAGGGACTAGTGATACAAATTTATGACTCAGTTTATCATTATTCTAGGCAAGCTCAAGACGGCGCTTATTATCTGCAAGCGAGCCCCTCATATAAGGTTTATTGTCAAATGACGCCTATCTCTGACTGTGGCGATGAGGGGGGCTGGACACTAGTGATGAAGATTAACGGAAGCAAAGTAAGTCGATTATTTATAGAATTTGATGAACGTATGCTTTGGTCATTTTTGTATCAGTTTTAAATTTGAATTGTCTGATTCAAGGGCACATTCAGGTTCAGCGAACGTTACTGGAAAGAGCAAGATGCTTACTATCAGGAAAAATATGGAGGCGATCTCAGTGAAAAAGAAACCAAACTCAAAACATTTCAACTCACCAGTTTTGATGATATGTGCTTGGGTATGAAAACACTGAACGACATCAAATGGGTTAAAATTGCATTAAAAAGAGGACAACAAAACATGGAGATGTTCCCGATATTTCAAAAACCATATCAATTCGGTTTTAAAGAGATTTCGAAAGAAAAATGGGAAGGTTTGGTTGAATCTAATTTAGATGTAAGTATTCTAGTATATGACACTAAACAAGTAATTGAGTTCAGAAATGAATAATCATGACAGAGTCAAGAAAGAAGTAATAATTCAAAAAGAAAAAAAAGAAACAGGAAGCACTGGTCTTAAATCCGACGAAATTCGGTGCAAAGAAACCAAATCAAATCGTTTTCCCTACAGTCCCTACAGTCCCCTACAGGACCCGCATATCCCTCATGAATTCCCTTATGGCTGTTCAGCACACAATTTACAAGGGAAGGAAAAGAAAAAGTTTGATCCTTTTCGCTTGGATTTGCGGTTACTTTATTTGGTCGAGGTAATAACCATGGCATAAGAGAACAGGTCACACGCAATTCGTAGAAATTTGTAGGAATGTCAAACAACTGAAACTCAACTTTCTCTTTTTCGCAGGATAGCTCAAAAAAGTCTGGTTTCAATATCAAAAGCTACGACAAAGCGAAAGTTCGAATAGGAATATTAGCCAGTAAATCATACATAGGCTTTGGTACTGGAGGAGCTATGGCTAACATATCATGTGGATATGTACGTACCGATACAAACAAAGTCCAACCGACATTTGGGTACATATTGATTCGTTAGACAAAAATAAAATAAAATAACTCGAACTCTTGTCATTTCACTCAAAAGCACATATATGTAATAATTTCTCCGTCACTTGATCTTAACATATATAGAATTTTTTAGATTAAAACATCAATTAATCCGATTTATGAAAGAAAAATCATGCAGTGCTGATCAAAAAGCAATGTGGTTTAAAATTGTCAAGTTTAGTCATTTCTTGTAAGTTTATGGAAGGACAGACATAACTGCAATCATGGCTGTAATGTTTATAGCATCTGCTATTTATGTGGAATTAAACCAGTCGCTTAGTGATTACTGTAGACGTGGGTCACGCGGAACTAAACTCGCGTTTGGCTATTCCCATGCAAAGAGGCTTCGTCAACCGCGTTTGTGGTTCATATTAATATTTTGTAGATATCCAAGCCTTTGCGTCGACCGCACGACTCAGACCCTCCTTATCGGAATGAATGAATGGATTAATAATAAATGAATGAGAGCCATTCACTTGTTTAGCCGTTTAGGATAACAAAGCCGAGTATTAAAAAGCTAAGAAAGTAGGGAGATATATTTGTACGTAAAAGTTGTAAAATGAATAAACATAGATATA